CAAGAAAGTAATTTGAACTCAGTATGGTTTTTGTATAGTTGGGAGAAAGGAGCATTTATTTCAGTCATATGGTCTATTCACGAATGTAGAAAATATGTACTTAAGAAAGTTGGTGTTAGAGATTAATTTGATTTTGCACTTAATAACTGCAGCAAGATTGTTGGTGGCGCAATACTGGAAGAAGGAAGAGTTGCCTACTATCCAAGAATGGACATTGAAAGCCACAAACCTAGCCGAGATGGCTAAAATATCTGCATATCTTAAGGACTATTCAAACGAGAGGTATAAACGAGACTGGAAAAAAATGGATTGATTATATTCAAAATAAATATGGGACTAAAAGGAAGGGCCAGGATTTCATTTGTTCTTCACTTTATTTACAACCAAGTCTTAAGCACCGGTATCTAGCATTAAGTTCTCCTCGCCTGGAAGCTTATCTGAACTGTGTTTTCAAAACCTTAGTGCATTTGCCTAACTCACAGCAGGAAATATGTCTGACCACCTACATCTCTAACGTGACCACACTTGACAAATGCTTCAATGCCTGGAGCAACAAATAAAATCAGAGGCAAATCCTATTTTCACTTCTTAAATTAATTTTATTGCTTTCCTCGGCTTAACCTGTCAAAACCTGTCTTAGCGCGTTGACAAATATTCAGCAATTACACTTAAAAAAACCGCATGTGGCAACTGTAGAAGAGATCTAAAATATTTCCGTGACACGCAGACACTGCCAAGCAAGTAGATTATAAATATTGTTCTCTTTCATGCAATCTCCGTGTGTGTATATAATTCAACCAGGACTTTTATTTCCTACGTTCGCCTTGTTGCTCTTCGGAAGTATCTGTTGTAAATTAAATTTCATTACTTGTTTAGAAAAGATGGTAAAACTTCAAGAACGTTGTCAAAAGTCTATAAAAAAAAACAAGAGATGGTGAGTTTGAATCCTTTCTTAAGACATAAAGTCGTTGGCTGGTTGGTTTTGAGCTAATCAGACATTGTCAGCTTAATACACCTCAAAAGATTGTTATTGTGGGGAAAAATAGGAGAATTATGTACGTTTGAAGCCTTGACTTACCATATTTTTCAGAGTATAAGATGCACCTTCCCCCACTAAAAGAGGGTGAAAATTTGGGTGCGTCTTATACACCGAATATAGTCCTGCCCATCCTTTGGACTCTGCCTTCCAGCAATTTGTCTTCTTCTTGCAGCAAACAGCCTCACTTTCAGCTTTCTATTGCGATTAGCATAAGCAGCTGAATGTTGATTGGATCGGATTCCCAACTATCAGCTGTTTCAGGTTGCAGGGATTGCCATTGCCCATTGGTGCCTCTGCACACCTTGTTTTCAGCCTCTGCGTGCCCCATTTTCCACCCATTCCGATCCCCATCTCCCGGAATGGGCGGGGCACGCAGACACCAAAAATGAGGTGCGCAGAAGCCGAAAATGGTTCACTGACAAATGCACGTCCGACAAATGCGCGCCGACAAATGCGCGCTGACAAAACCGCACCCACAAAAAGTGCACCATCCACAAACAACATAGTGGGACGCGAAAACAACGTTATAGCAATAGCAATAGCAGTTAGACATATACCGCTTCATGGGGCTTTCAGCCCTCTCTAAGCGGTTTACA